GTGTACTGTTTTGAATGCAGTCAACTTCTATATAAGTAGAATGAAGAGATTTGAAAACTAGCTGCACTTTTGTTATTACTTTTGGCTATTTTCAAAACAACTGTCAGTCACCACCATTCTGTCTGACCTGGGCCACTATCATCTCCCATCTTCATTTTATTTCCATGTTCTTTTTTCTGTTGTTCAACATGTTATTAACTTGTATTTTTCTTTAGTTTTCTATACCCTAGTATTGTTCAAAGCTAGGCCTATAATGATTTTTTCGGAGGCCTTATGTTAGAAGAATGAATAAAGATATAAACAGAACAAAAAAAACTTATATTCTTTTTGCTCGCATTAAATAGCGTATTTAACTAATAAGAACATTTCACCTGTAGCTTGTTCGATGTTTCATAGGGACTAAAACTTCTGACTAAGTCAAAAATGACCGAAAACAGCGAAATTCGACTTGTCGGCTATGAAAAATGAGATTTGAGGCTAAGAAACTGCTGTCAGAAATCAACAGAATCTTGTATACGACTAAAGTATAGAAAACTTTGTTTCTTTGTAAATGAATTATCACGGGTGTATAGCTCAGACATTTTCAAGTATATTTTGTCACAGAATTGCCCATCGATACGGGAATGTTCTAAATAAAAACACGGAAGTCGAAATGTTCTTATTATATACGGTATTTAATGCGAGCAAAACGAATATAAGTTTGATCTCTCATAGTTTTAGAACGGTACATCCGTGTTCAAAAAAACGCACATGGTCCGATTCCTCATCAAATTCTGAACAAGCTTTGTCTCAGAACTGAAATTCTGTAGGTCGGGTAGTAAAAATAACTCCGTTCTGTAGAATAGACGCATACGCACACATTTGCCAAGAATTGAAAGAAAAGGAAAGATATCTTATTTGATACATCTCTACTCTCTTATGTCTTTCTATATGTATACATTCGTATTCTCGCATTCGACGGATTCTAGTTCGTGTGCGACAGGTGAGCGTGTAGTGTGCTGTGTGGTAGTGTCGTTTCTCTCTCGCTCTGCCTGTCTTCATCGTTCTTCTCTCCGCCGTTTCACTTTTCGATGTACCATCTCGTTTTGATCATCAAATATACACCTGAACATTATACCACATCAGAGAGAGATAGCTCTTAGAGTTCCCTTTTGAAAGAGATTAGGCTTCTAGCATTTGAATAGAGATATCTAAGATATATGTATATCTCTGTTCGAATGCTAGAGGCCTATTACACTTCTGAACTGTATAGCAAGCAGTTTGGTAGTCAGTACGGATACATTCTTTCTGTTTTTTTATTCTGCATGTTGATGAATTGCCGAATGATAACTGAACCTTTTTGCATGGAAACGAGAGCTTTTTATCAACTAGCTCACGACAAACATGTATAATGTTCGAAAACTTAAATTTTTGGAAACAAACCGTGTATATATCGAATTTGGCAGTAGTATACTATTGGCAAGTCTAAATGTGTTCAATATAAAATCTTTTTTTTCCTTTCAGATGGTTTTTTTCAAAAACGTTTCATTATTAAGAGATGGAAAGAAACTTATTCTCAAAGATCTTAATCTTGTGAGTTTAAAAAGAATTATGAATCAGAATAAATATAATACAGTTATATTAGATTATGAAAGTGGGCGCTTTTTATTTTATGATTATATTAATAATATTTCAAATAAATACGATTTATATGATTTAGACACCTTATCAAAAAGTGATGAAACGTTTGAAATGATTATGTTATTAAAATGTGATGAAAATAATATTAAAAATAAAATTGATCTAGCTGAAAATTATCGGATAAAAAATTTATTATCAGTTTTGAATAATGAAAATGAACAACAACAAAATATTTGGATGAAACAACAAGAAGCATCAAATATAGTAGATTATTCTAAAGCTACAATTAATCTTAATTTATCTGATATTGATGAACAACAAAAGCGTACAAATAGTCAAATAAATTATGATAAAACAATATTTCAATGTGATGATGATGATTCAAATCGACCTACATTTGATGATATTGTTAAGCTTGACGATGCAGTACTAGCATTTACGGATGAGTTAGAGGATGATGACAACGACGATGATGACGATGTAAACGAACAAGGAATAACAAGTAATAATAATAATGCAAATGAAAAGAATCAATTTAATACTAACAATCTTACTATTACCAATTTTGCAAATCTTACTATTAATAATGGTGCATCAGAAAAGATTGATACAACATTACTTTCATCATCTGAAAATTATATAATGTCAGCAATAACGAATCTTTCTAATCAATTTAGTCGTTTTGAAACAAATGTTAAAAAACGATTAAGTATTATGGAAAAGAGCGTTGAAAAACGGTTAAGTAATATGGAAAGAAGTTTGAATTTAATATATGAAAGACAATCGTTATAATCATTATTAAGATTATTAGATTCTGTTTATTTGATTACATCTGATAGATTAGAAACACGAACATTTAAAGCAAATGATTCTTATTTAACACTAAAATTTTTTCGTTTTGTATCTAAACAGTTAGTTAAAAATTATAAAGATCGATGGTCACCATATAATAATAATATTAAAAAATTAAGTTTAAAACCAAGATGTATCGAAATTAATTTATTAGGTTTTGGGATATTAGATAAATGTAAGTATAAAGATCAAAATAAACAATATTCTATTGAATCACCAACATCATTATATGTTAATAATAAAACAAATTACAGATTATCATATGTAAGTCAATGTTGCAATAATTTTGGTAAACCTTTAACACATATACTGGTATTCGAAGGTACAACATCACCTGTATATTTTGAAACAGAATTATTCAAACAAATTCATTCATCATCATATTATAATAAAAAGATCACATCAATGAAAAATTTACTACGTAAGCTATTACAATTAGAACGAATGATATTTTTTCTAACCTTTTACTATAAAATTGATTTTTCACAATTTTTTGCTGGCTTAATATGTTTCCATTTTTATCATAATTCTCATATAGACACAAGTTTATTATTAAAGAATATTATGTCATCAAAATTTAATGAGGCTATACCTCTTTTAAATCGTTTATATTTAATTGATCAATTTATTTTAACATATTGAATGCACGATTTCTGTTGTTGAAAAACACCAAGAACAGTTACCGCCTTGGCTCATTGTGTCTTTTGAATGGAAGCGATGAGATCGTCAATGAATTTCAAACGCTGATCAATCATGAGAAACTACTCGATGACTTGCAATGTATTGGATGCGTCTTCAATGTACAGTATTTGTGAATGTAGATATGTACGTTGATGTTCTTCCCTTTTTGATTTTTTTCTCTCCTTTTTTCTTGTTATCTGGTAGCTTCGATGTGAGAGAGAGGAGATTATTTCTGTTGGAGACCCCAGTCTTTCGATACATGTGGATGGCAGATATTTCCTTTTTTCTTCTCTTGTGAACCATTTCCACGGCACAATAAATATTGATGTTGAGAAAAACTGCTCGATGACTGTTAATAGAATATGTTAAGAATATAGTGTATTTATGATGATGGAAACTCTACTTTCAAGAAAGTACTTTGTTCTTGAATAGGCTTCAGCCCGATGATTGTGATTATTACTAGATCTTTTGTCATGGAGATCGATTCAGATGTTTCATATTCCAGAACTGATGACACGCTGATTCTTCGCTCGAGCACGCTAGTCGTGTGCTTGTCTCATCTTTTGACTACATCCTTCAAACGCGTGTTACTGACGGCATCAATCAGATGTGAATATTGGTGCATTATCTTTTTGAATAAGAACATTCTCTCTCTCTCTCTTGTGTATGTTAGTCGATCATCGCAACAATAAATTGATGTCGAAAAATTGACTGACAATAACCAGCAGTGAATCGATCGATGTGACAAATAGAAAGACGAGTTCACTGAGTAACTTGACCAACAGTCCAAACGACCATCTATCAAGTATGATGTACGACAGAAAAACAAAAAAAATTAAATCACTTATATAAACAGGCAGAGATAAATGTTATAATCCATTGAATAAAGTTTAGTATCGAATGTAAAAAGATTAATTTCATTTAAAAGTACTAAAATATTTGAAGAATAACAAATTAGACAGTTTGACAATTTTCTTTTCTACATGTTTAATCCCCATAGAACTTAAACTAGTATCCGTTCCAAAATACAAGCCAATCGGTTAATTTTCGAATAGCTCAGGAACGGAAAGAGCTAGAGACTTGCGGTTTTTAGTGGTAGTAAGAAGAGACCTGAAGCCATGTTTTCACAAGCATAAATGGTTTTCGGAAAAAAGGTCAAGTCGGTTGTTGAAAGGATCTTTGAAAAACCACTTCAGATCTTCAGAAACTGAGATAGTAATCTACCAGTTATTTCTCATAGGTAATAGTCCAAAGTGTCTTCTCCAAAATGCGAACTACGTGAACTCTTAATTTTTCCTGGTTCAGACGTGGTATTGGATTTGCTGAGAGTTCTAGGATCAAAATTTCTTTAGTTGTAGTAATTCCGAAAATAATGGAAACATAGATAATCAGCCACGCTGAATCTCGTGGCAACATTTGTTTTTCAAAAAACGTTCAAAAACCTAGTGAAAACCTATATTAGGTGAAATAACCCATTTTTGCCTATTTTTGAGTATAATTAAAAAAC